ACAGCTGCTCGTTTAGTTAGACTTTGGATCTCATTTAAAGTGGTTAGGGATTTCATCTCTAAGATTGCTTTGATCTACTTGGGATGCACCTCGATTCCTCGTTGGGTTACGAGGTTCCCTAAAAATCGCCCTCAGGAGACTACAAAGGTGCATTTGGCAGGGTTAAGCTTCATCTTGTACTCGCTAAGGATACTGAATGTCTCTACCAAGTTTCTGAGGTGGTATGACCACTACTTTTCTTTTACCATGATGTCGTCGAAGTAGACTTACATGGTAACCCCAATCCGCTTCTTGAACATTATGTTTACTAACCTTTAATAGGTAGCTCTTGCGTTCTTAAGGCAAAAAGGCATAACCTTGTAGCAGTAGATGCTTCGCTAGATAACGAACGTAGTTTTCTCTTTGTCGAGCTCAAACATGGTGATCTGATTGTAGCCGGAATATGAGTTCAAAAAGCTGAGCAGCTGGTTCTCTACGGTTGAGTCCATTGGTAAGTCAATTCGCGGGAAAGGGACAGGGAACAGATCTTTCGGGCAAACCTTGTTAAGGTCATTGTAGTCTACACATACTCTTCACTTGCCATTCTCTTTCTTCATTACCAGCACAATGCTGGCTAGCCATACTGAATATGCCACTTCCTCGATGAATCCGACTACTAATCTATTTCTGAATGATCGCTACTTGTTCTGGAGCTAAGTGTCTTCTTTTTTGGATCACCAGGTTGGTAGCAGGGTCGATATGTAGTTTGTGGTAAGTTACCTTGGGATCAATGTCGGGCATACCAGAGGGTGACTATGCAAAAACATCATGGTTTTCCCTAAGAAAAGTCGTGAGCTCTTCTTTTTCCTTTAAGCTCAGTCGTGAGCCGATTCTAGTGGTATTCTCTAGCCACTTGGGATCAAGAATGATGTATTTGACGTCTTCTTCTGGATTTCACCCTTTTTCCTATGTCGGCATGTCCTCCTGAATGCCATCATCTTGATCTGCTTGCTGTAGTTACTGTTTAGTAGTAGGCTCGTCATTCTCAACCTTGGTAGCTCTAACAGTGGTGAAAGACTTTTTCTTTGACTTATTCAGCATTTACACCATGTATTGTCGGGATAGGGCCTAGTCAGACTTGAGTTCTTCGACTCTTCCTCCTAGGATGCGGAATCGAATTTTCTAGTACTCAACGAAGGTTACGGTGCCCAAATTCACTAATCAAGGCCTTCCCAAAATCCCGTTAAAGGGAGACGGGTCGTTGACTATAATGAACATCTGCTTTGAGACTATTGGTGGCGTTCTCACATCGAGTATTATGTTGCCAATAACAGTTGAAGTGTATTTGTTGAATCTGGTGAGTACCTCTGCTCGGTGTATTATTGTGTTTTCTAGACCCATTTTCTGAATGACAGATAGCTGAAGTAGATTTACTATGCTATCATTGTCCACCATCACTTTGTCGACTATAACGTGTACCGGTTGAACGTACACTACCAGAGCATCATCGTGTGGGAAGTCAACTCCTTCAGCATCCTGCTCGGTGAAACCAACGATGGGTCTAGGTTTGGCATCAGCTGGCTGAACTTGGAAGATCGCTATAGCCTATTAGATCTTCCTCTTCTTAGAGTTATTTGTGGCCCCTAAGTATTCAGACTCGACGAAAATGCTGTTGATTCTGATGGTCTTGGCAAACAGCTCATTGTCTACGTCTACATTTTTATTAGGCTGCGCAACTGACTCGTCCAGGTATCTATCACATTATCCTATTTCACCAGCTTCTTTAGGTATTCCCTCTAGGTATAACAAGTGTCGGTCATGTGATCGAGACCCCGTTAGAACCCACAGTACTTGGAGTGATCCAGCTCAGAAGTATCTCCTCTAAATTATCTTGGCAGCTTGAACTAATGCCCACTCTTGCGGTCACAGAGGATCTGGTTGATCGGGATCGAGAACTTAGTATAGTTTTTGGTGGCTTGACCTCCTCTTGTCGGGGACCGGTCTCTGCACTTGGCCCCCTGCTTACTTCAATCTTGGGACTACTTCTTGTCTACTTTCTTCTAGGCTGCCTCGGACTCTTTCTAAGGTTGCTCAGGTGCCTTGATTACTCGTTAGGCGCCATCCCAAAGCACATGCTTCTCTGCCATAGCGAATAAGTTTGCTCAAGTCAAGCATTATTTCATGATCAATTCTCCAAAAAAGGAATGATCTGCTGGGAGTCCATTTTGGAAGGCTGCGCTGGCGATCGAGTCGTTGCAACCGATTATCTTTGCCTTCTCTGCCTTGAACTTCTTAACATAGTCACAGAGCGACTCCTTTAGATCTTTCTTGATGTTGAGGAGATGATCATACTTCTTCTTTATCTCGGGGGCCCATGCGGGAGTGTACACTGCCAGAACACTCGATTCTTGGTTGATCGAGGGGTTGCTTACCGGGATATCGTTGGAGAGAAACATCATTGCATGTCCTTGTCCTGCCTTGGGACACCTCATCTAGGGCATGCTACATCTCAGTCTTTGCCAAAGCTGATTCACCAAGGTAATTTGCTGCACAAGGGCGCTTGTCCGTTCGACGACCTGTTGGGATAGGTGTTGTTTGCTATTTGAAATGGAAGAGCGGGACGGTAAACGTCTGCTTGAGTTATGGAAATGTAATGGACTCCAGGTGCAAAGCTTGAGCCAGGATAGGTCAGATCTGTAGTAATGTGGGGTGAAAATATCCTTGGGCACATGGGTGTTGGGCCACCTTGGTTAGCGTTGCTTGGGCTGCCTCAGTCTAGGCTGCTCACGTCCAAGTGAAGGTGGTAGGCATCAAAGGCTACTGCCAAGGGCCAACAGCAGTCTGCACCTACTAGCTGCTTGCATTGTGGGCTTCATGCCCTAAGGTTTCCTCGCGTTGAGTGAAGGCTGCCCCGTAGGCCACTATAACGACATTTGCCGATGCTGGCATGGCCATGGTATGTCATGGTGGCAAAGGTACAGTCTTTACCGTGGTAAGCCTCGAGGAACGACAGCGTGGAGCCACGTCGCGATCTCCATTGGTTGGTCCATGTCCTTCAACATAAGAGGTCCCATTGGTTGTGGTTTCTAAATTTTCTGCCATCGTAGTCGTGGATCTACAAACAAAGGAAGTTGAAAGTGAGAGTTTTCTTCGAGGCTTCGGATCAGAGCTCTTAATGAAAGCACTAATTTATGGATGCAAATTTTCACCTTTCCTTGATTGACGAATCTGCACCTGCAAAATAATAACACCTAAGATTAAGGTTAAAAGCCTCACGCGCCCACGATGAATTTTGGGGGGGGGCTTTGGCAGAAGAATCTCAGATGCCAAAGTTAGAATTCTGAAAAGAATGTGTTTGAGTGTTTGTGGGAAGCAAAAAGCCTCTTTAAGGGTAGCTAAAACTTACTGAATTTTGGAGATAAATAGAGTATTTGTAGGAGAGGAGAAGAGCATGGGCAGGCCCTCTAGGGTTTAGGGGTGGCCGGCCCTAGGTGGTATTTTGGGTGGAATATTCTAAGATATTTGTAAATAAATATCTTAAAATAAATAGGTAAATATCCTAAATAAATGGAACTAGGATAACTTACTTGAAAGAGATCTTCTCCGATTAGGAATATACGTATGATAAGAATAAGAAATTATTTTATCATAAATACCTTTGACTTTTCCTATGGGCAGGGATGCCTTGAGCAGTCGTTAATCTCTGTTTGCTCTACCTTAGTTGCGCGTGGTGAATGAGGCTGCTCCTCACTATTTAATAGGGGCAGTCTTGTCCTTCTGGGAAAATAATCCATGTATGATTTTTGGCTCCACAATAAACACACAGTAGTAGGATTCTCTATCCTCTTATTTCCAATCTCTTCTCTCCCCTCCTCTCACATTTTGCTTTTTATTCTTTGTCTTAATAGAAAAATCAATATAAAATGTTGATGTGATTTGATCGTAATAGTTCAAGTAGGAGGAGAGAATAAGAAAGAGATTAGAAGGGGAAAGATATTAGAAGGGGAGATGATCCTTTTCCAAACACACAGCATGCACAGTTGAAATTGCAAGAGCCTATTGTTCGGCCCGTGATCTTACTCAATTACTGTTTGATTAATCATTATTAAAGGTATCAAGTAACTAATTAAAGGAATTGATGTCAATCTGACTAATTATCACCTAAATTAATTTACAAAAGGTTCATGTGTGCATGTTATGATCTAATAATGTTGTTCTTAATTTTTCACACTACTTATAACATATCATATTGTCCAATTTATGCGACATGGTCAAATAAAGAGTCACTTTTACTTGATTATCACCTAAATTAATTTACAAAAAGGTTCATGTGTGCATCTTTTTCTTCATAATACATACTATTTTGTAATCCAAAAAACTAATGGTTAGATCTTGCATATAAAAAATTAATAGATTTTAACAATAATACTTAATCCAAAGATAAACACACACACACATGTATATCTTGGTTAGAGGATCATGGAATGCAGTGGTAAAACAAAAAGCTCACCAAATTGTGGTTGCAAAAGCGATCTCATCTCATGATCCCTTTACTTTGTCTCTTTTTGGGATCAGAGCAAACCCAAAGTCAAAATTAAAGCATCCAAAGTAGGTCAGTGTCATTCTGCAATTGTACCTAACGAATTTTATATTGACGGAAGAGAGAATTTACATATATTTATAAATAAATTTTTCGTACGGTCAATTTAGGTTATTATGAAATTTTTTTATTTTTTATTATGATATCAGAGAATATTATCTCATAGGTAAAATCTAATGGCTACATATGCTTCACATCACCTATTGTACATGTTGTTTATGTATTAGATTTGAAAATTTGTCACACATCATGTTGAGAATGAATTTAACAATAATAGAAGGAAAGACATTTCATGAATTTATAATTAAATTAGATTATTTTTTGTAATATTAATTAATTTTATAGTAAAAATTCAACTTTGTTCACGACTTTTTAGGAGCTGCCCGATCTACTGCCCTGTTATAAAGGGTGGTGTTCGATTCGTAAACTTCTCAACCACCAAGGACGAGAAATTTAAATTACGGAGCCAGCCACCGCCCAGCAGAGTAGAAGAAGAAGAATATCTGAATATATAACATGGATGTTCGTTTCAGAAGACCTACCACCACCAGAGAATTGAGAGAAAGCAGCACAGACAGAGCCGAAGTTATGCAGCAGCCACCAAGAGCCATAAAAAAACTTCAAGTTGTCTACTATCTCTCAAGAAATGGCCATCTCGAGCATCCTCATTACATGGAAATCACCCACTTGGCCAATCACCCGCTTCGTTTGAGAGGTTAAATTAAATAATCAATTTCTTTACCAGCTACAAATCTCTCTTCTTCGTTTTTTGTCTCTTATTTTCCTTGGTTATTGCTAATATATTTCCATGCGACTATGCAAATGTAGATGTAATGGATCGGCTGACTGCTCTTAGAGGCAAAGGCATGCCCGCCTTGTACTCTTGGTCTTGCAAAAGGTGTGCACTGCTGATTAACTGCAGTAGTAGCTACTACCTGGAGTACGTAGATTTTTCGTTATATTTTTATCTTTTGAGGCTAATCTAACGTATTTTATCTTTTTAGGAGCTACAAAAGTGGTTATGTGTGGAACGATTTAGCCGAAAACGATATAATTTATCCAGCAGAAGGAGCTGAGTATGTACTCAAGGGATCAGAGCTAGTTGAAGGCTGCTCTGCAGGTCCCTCTCTGTCTGTTTCCGTTTAACTACCTACATTATTAACATTTAAAACAATTGTACTCTTTTAGATAATGTACTAAAAGTTCCCTAATAATTCTTGTATGTAGAAAGATTAGATCAACTGCAAATGAGTAGCAACCAACAGATGATGCAGCAGCAAGACTCAAACTTTGGGTCCAAAAGGAGATCTCCACTCGCTCCGACTCGAAGCAGAGGACATGATCATCATCATCGAGAAGCAGACAAGTATCGGGAGGAGGAGGGTCAAGACCAAGACTCTGAGGACGAACAAGAAGAACAAGAACTGGTGGACTATGAGGATGAGAAAACAAGCTACACCAGCTCCACCACCCCCCATTCTCGCTGCTCCAGAGGGGTCTCCACAGACGAACTCGAAGACCCTCCACAAACCCGCAAAAGCCCGACTGTGTCAACTCACCCCGAGTCATCACCGCCTCCTCCTCCAACTCCAACCCCATCAGTTAATAATATAGCATCAAATCAGCCCAGCCAGCGCACCAATCTGTCCACATGGTTCGAGGACGGCGACCCAGTTGTGGTTTCGGATTCCAAGTCCTCAGCACTGCAGAGCAAGAACTCTGTTTTGCTTCAGCTCATAGCTTGCGGGAGCTCAGCAGTATCCAAAGCAAAAAATGCACCATGTGTGAGTCTGAAGCAACACACAACAGCGACAGATCATGTGAAGAAGAGCAGCGAGAGCTTCCGGAAAGAGGTTGTGTATAAGGCTGCAGTGAAGGTGGCGGTGGCCGCGGAGGAGGACATGATTAAATGCATGTCTGAGAATCCAAGGTTTGGGAATTTACAGGCAGAGGAGAAAGAGTATTTTAGTGGGAGTATTGTGGACGCCATGAAAGACCAAGATCGAGTTTTGGCTGAACCTAGGCCTGGGCTTAAAAGATCAAATTCCTACAACGAAGAAAGGTAAGTGACAACGATTTTCATGCATATGGGTCAAGTGATTAATTAAATAATGTAGTCCCGAATTTGCATAATATATATATAATTAGCACGTTCTCGATACCTTTAATGTGTTAACTAACTTTGGTGTTCGATTAATATATTGACTAGGAGCACCAAGGCTGGGTTTGTTTCAGAAAGTGTAGAAGAAGAGAAGAAAGAGAAAGCAGCGGTGAAAGGGAAGTGCATTCCTCGTAAACTATATTCTTCTGCTGCATCAAAACAAAGCAAAAAATGATTGTTAAGCCTTATAATTTGTATGACCCAACAAATATGTAATTACCAGCACTGGTCAGGGGTTTTACTTTTACTTTGGCTTCCTATAGTTATGAAGAATTATGGCAACGGTTGGGTGGAAAGTAAAAGCTGTTGGGAAAGGTGAAATCTTTCCTTCGAATTAATTTGAAAACGACGGGTGGTGTGGTTCCCTCTGCGACTCTCCTTATATCCATGGGTTTGTTGCGGTACGTAATCAGAACAAGAAGTATGCATGCAACCGGGTATACCATCCTCTTCATATATAAAAATTAGTACAGAAAGAATATTTACTTGTTTCTCCTTTTCGGCCAAATGGTTGGCCGACGAGGATATTTTTGCCCTTCTTGTGAACGTTGCGTAGACGTGCCACCACCAAGCCACAGATTGGGTTGGATACTCATCCTCGGGTATAGTAAAGTTAAGATCGCGATTCTTCTGGGTTATGAATGTAAGATCAATATATATCTTTTGTGCGTAATTAGTGTGAGAGCAGGGACCCTATTGTATCCTAAATGGTGGTGTTTGATAAGAATACTTCCCATCATGTAATCCTTATCACCACGAAACCATATTATTCATATCTTTATAGATATATCTACTCAAATCAGAATTACTTTAGCTATATATCAGTCCACATACATTCCTTGATAGCTTACAACTACAGTCAATCCTAATCTCATATGATCTCGATCCCTTAAGCACGTGTTAAACAAATGAGAAGCTCTAACAAGGCTTACATTCTCCCACTAGAGCCAACACTTGTTTATCACAGTACCACCTAAAAAGAAATCATACATGAATGGCCATGAGAATATGATTAACAAAACCCCAATAACAACAAGTTTCTGTCATAAGTTAGTATTCATGAAGAACTAAAGGGAAGTCATGCTCCAATATATAAACATTATCCCCAAAATTACTATCATGAAACCATCAAACACATGAAACTCCATTAAGACATGAAAAATAATACAAGATGCAAATACGAATGCTTCTGTAATACACCTGCATTATGGTCCTCCTTCCAAGACCAGTAAACTAGTCCACATTATTCTCTCGCACTGAGACCCTTAAGTTGCTTTTCTGTTGCAACAATTCAAACAAATTGTCACCCAAAATACACTTTCATAATGTATCTGTATCATAACTATAACACTGCAATTTCTAGGAAACCTTTGCAACTAGCAACATAATACTTTATTAGTTAAGATGATCTAAACATAAATACTTTAATTCATATTCCAAAAAGTACCTGAATCAACCAATGTCCAAGAACAAATATCTTAAACATGATCAAAGCTCCCACTGTTCTGCAGTACCAAAAATTTCCAGCACTTCCATTTTCCTTGTATGTTTCTTCAATACTGCCACTGGAATGGCCTTGTTCAACGGATCTGCAATCATAGAACCTGTCTCCAAATAATCAATTTTAACCAAACCATCCATCACCTTTTCACGAGCAACAAGAAACTTAATCTCCAAGTTCCTTGTAGCATTGGATCTCTTATTGTTTATCACAGTAAAGCTGAATGAGTCTTGAGATTGAGTCAACAATACAAAGCCCAGTGATAAAATTCTTTAACCAAAGTGCCTAATTCACAGTTTCACAGTAAGACAAGTACTCAACCACCATTGTTAAAGAATGCAACGATGTCTTGCTTGGTACTCTTCCAAGAGAGCTCCATTAGCCATCATAAACACATGGCCTGAAGTTGATTTCAAATCATATAGGCAATCAACGAAGTCTGCGTCATTGTATCCTTCTAAGACCAAGTTTTCAGTCTTCTTATAAACCAACATATGGGACTTAGTTTTCTACATGTACCTTAGAACTCTCTTCCCAGCATTCCAGTGTGATTTTCCTGCATTAGACTGAAATCTCCCTAAAACACTGATGGTAAAAGCTAGGTTTGGCCTAGTGCAAACCTGAGCATTAATTAAGCTCCCTACTAATGATGTGTAAAGCTTATCCTTCATCGCCAAGACTGGTCAATTTAGTCGGTGGTTGCTACCATCGGCAGTTGCTTCCTCCACCTGTGCTTTCTGATTTCCTGCATGTTGTTCATCATTCAACAACACCCCAACTTCAGTGCCATGCTCCAGTCGGTGGTCATTGTCACTTGGAGCTGCCATCTCCACGTACCCTGCATGATCGTTAGTTTACTGCTCACAATGCAACAACACATCAATATTTCAATTGCCATGTTGAATGACATAATCATCATTACAATTACCCTCACTTTCTTCCACTTGATTTGGAAATTCAATCATTGGTGCTGCATTCGGTGATTATTCTACATTATTCCCCATTTCCCCATCTTCCTCAAATATGAATTTATTAGTTCTAGTGCTTTCATGATTGTCCATCACCAATTCGATAAAAGCACTTGGTAGATTAATACTACAAGTCATACTCCTTACCATGTCCATTAGGGTTCTATTTCTTCTCTCAAGCCATTTCGTTTTTTTCAGGTGTACCAGGTTGGTATATTGAGCTACAATTCCATATTCTTGAAAATAAAGCAAAGAGTCCAGGGTGTCAGCCAATTTGTATGTATCTTCCATAGTATAAATCTTGAAAACTTCTAAGGCTTTTGATTTTTCAGAAATCAAATAAATGTAACAATAGCGTGAAAAGTCATCTATGAAAGTTATGAAATATTTATTTTCTTCAATTATTTGTGTGGGAAAAGGACCACAAATATCTCTATGGATTTTTTCTAAAAGTTGTTTGCTCCTAGTTGAACCCTCTTTTTTTTTGTTTGTCATTTTTCCCTTGACACAATCAATACAAAATTCAAATGGTTGAAATTCAATGGAGGCAAGATTTGGTTTTTAATCAAAAGTTCCATTCTGGGTTTTGAAATATGACCAAGTCTCATGTCCCAAAAATTTGAAGATTTCTTTGGTCGTGTGGTTTTCTTTCTCAACATTGAAAATATTTTCAGTTTTATTTAATTGAAATTTGAATATACCATCACATAAAGAACTGGTGCATATATGACAAAAATTGTAAAATAAAAAATGTTGAAGCCTTTATTATTCAAAGTAAAATAAAAAACCTAGCAAATCCAACCTCGAAACTGAAACTAATTTCATTCTAATAGAAGATACATAAACCATGTTATCAAGTTCTAAGCAAAAACCAAATATAAATTTAGCCTAACAGTTACTATTGCCATGACTTTGATTGCTAACTAAGACTTTGATTTCGAATCAAGCCACCAAGGTCTGCTAGGCATTTCAGTTAAATTTGATTAAAACAAGAAAAAACATTTGAAAAAAAAAATAACATTTGAAAACTGTAGAATTGTTAAGTTTGAAAGTCCTTTTAGAGAGGGGAATATTTCTAGCATTTTCTTTCCTGGCACCCTCGGACCTGTTGTTTTTGGTATGACCTTCGACATAGTTCACATACTCACCCTTTTCAATTCTCTCCTTTTTAATTCTCACTTCCTCCCCAACGGAAATAGAGATTACATTGACCACTTTTCTTGCAAAGCATTGTAAGAAACTTTCAACTGAGTATAGGAATCTGGGAGTGAATTCATAATTACATTGACCAAAAAGGTTTGAGAAGTTTGTACACATTTTTGAGTTTTCCAGCAATGTCGATGACTCTGAGAATATATTCACGTACACTTCCTTCACCATCATACCTGATTGAAGTGAGTGAATTCATGAAGTTGCCAGTTTTAGTTTTCTCGTACTCTTTGTACTTCTCCTTAATGGATTTCATGAACTCTTTTGCATTTGTTGCCTCTGGGAATCCTCCACGAACAACATCAGTCACTGTTCTTTTGATTATCATCAGCAAGATTTGATTCGATTTTTGCCACTTTCCATTCTTTGATGTGTAGCTGGAAGTGCTTCCATTGACAGGTAGTGGGGGTTCCTCAATTCTCAATGCTAAATCCATATCCATGACACCCAGAATGATTTCCAATTCTTGTTTCCATTTCTTATAGTTGACACCAGTGAGTGGTTCAACAGTGTTGAGATTCATGGAACTAGGGTTCATGGCTGCAACTTGAAAAATATTAATCTTTAATCCCCATTCTTTATATCATAGACTCAAGAACCTTTGGATTAATGATAGGAGTATATTTATGCGACTTAGTTAGCTTGTTTTCTTGCACTTTTATAGTTAGTTTGTGGTTATTATAGTGTTTTAAGCTATTTTCGTGTGTTTGTAGGTCCAAATGACAAAGTATGCAAGAATGTGCAATTTGGAGCCTTTTGGAGCAGTTTTGAGCATAAAATGGATATCACATGCTTGGAGTCAAATGGATGGTCGAAATTGAAGATCAAAGGAGGCAAGAAATGAAGAAATGAACATGAAGAACAAAGAGTTCAGAATTGGAAGCCAAAGTTTCTAAAGTTGGAGGTTTCCATTCTTGAAAGTTTCTATTCTTGGATTGGAAGTTTTCTAATTTTTTTCACCTGGGTTCCAACCCTTGCCGCACCTCTCAAGCTTCTTCCCTCTTGGATTCTGAATTGTTAGGCCCTTTTCCTTGTGGATTTGGGTTCTACAAATCCTTTTCAGAAACTAAGTGGGCCAAAAATCCTTTTCTTTGTTGATTTAAACCCTAAACCGAATCCTTAGGCTCTAAGCCTTAAAATCTGCTAAGTTTAAACCCTAATCTATCTCCCCTAGGGTTGTGCCGCACCTAACACTTCTAGAAGCCTAAAAATCTGCACAAACCCTAGTTCTTTTCTCCCTTGGATGGGCCAAGCCTTTTATCTCCAAAACCCTAACCTTTTCCCATCAGATTTTGTGAAAACCCTAGCTTTGCCGTGCCTATATATATGTGTTTTTAAAGCCTAAATTCGTCACCACCCTTCACACCATTCAAAAACACCTTGCCGCAACCCTAATCACCATTCTACATCACAAAACACCATCCTACATCCATATACTTCTCTGCCGCACCTTTTGGAGAAGAAGGAGAGCTTTGTCGTGCATTCCATTGATGAAGGAGGGCCTTGTGCGCAAGCCATCTGCATCCTTGGGAGTTTTCATAGATCTTTCTTCCCTCGTTTCAATTTCGATGTTTATTTCAATTTGCTTTTCAATTGATATGAACATGTGGAACTAAACTCTTATTAGTTAGTGGTGAATTTGAAGCCATGGACATATGTTAATATGAATTGATTCCTTTCAGTTATTGTTTCGTAAAACATGAATGCGATTTACTTATCTATTTGATTGATAACTTATTCTTGTGTGTTGATTAAGGAGGCCTACTTAGTTTGCATGCTTGAATCTGATGCTAAATTATAAGGGACTTTCACCTAATCGTTAGAAACTTATAATTACAAGTAGTGGAGATTGCTAGTCACAATCGTGTTAAGTAGATTCTTGGCAAAAGTATCATGCAGTTCATAGTTATAATTGTCTTGTCAATGCTTATGATTTCCATGGAATTTAATGATCTTTGAATGTATCTCTATCATGCTGTTCATATAGGGAACTTGAGAAGAATAATTTGGGTTGTTGCATGCATTCATCCAATTAAATGAATTTAGGGAAATCTGATAGTTAATTTGTGCATTCACGATAAATTTGGGGCATTGTCGTTCATGGTTTAAAGAAACAATACTGGAAAT